AAAAGGCCTTTGCCCCTCTGCTTCTTCCAAGAATAGTCTTCTACAAAGCAGCAAACCGCTGCAGCAAGACTTAAGAGTCACAGCATGGTCACATACACCAGGTTGGGGAACCAGGACATAACTGAAGTAGAATAGGAGCTTCCTCAAGGCAATTGGATTTCAACGCAGAGCATTTCCAGATCCTTCCTAGCTTCAAAAGAAATTCAGAATAAGGCGTGGGAAGATGGGCACAGAAGAACAAAACACTTCAGAGGAAGGTTTACTAACACTGAAAGAAGCAGTTGAGAAGCTCTTATCTGAAGCAAAAAGGCTGAGGCAAGATTGGGTAGAAGGTAGAAAGCGAAATCTGGTACCTGGTTACAACTTGTAAGTTTTGAACATCTGCCAGTGGAATAATTATTCTTAGAAAAGTGCTGTGCTGTTGGAATCAACTTCCCACAGGAATGTTTCCATTTTCATTTGGGTCTTTTTCTCCCACACATGCTTTGGTAGGTCAGCACACTTCTGGAACCAGATGATATCGCACTGACAAAATGAAGTTTCATTCTTAAGTTTAGAGAGTAAGATTTTGTAGGTCAGCTTTGGAATTAGAATTCTTGGTTTCATAAGACACTTCAACTGACAATTTAAAATACCTAAAAAGAATTTATAAGCTCCTTCACAAAATCCAGGAGATGAAACATAATAGGCTCTACTCCAAGCAGAGGATCACATAGCTTCTAAAAGCAGGTCTCAAGGGCCATGTATTTTTTTAAGAAGGAAGGTGATGGGCAAGGACTTGGCAATGCCTAAACAGTCTTAGGAAGAAGGTTTCAAGCTGAAAAGAGGTTGAGAGCAAAGAAACTGTCACTCACTGTTTGCTGCTGGATATGTTTAGATGAACAGAAGTTGGTACATACTCTGAGAATAAACAGAGTCTATCAGAGAGAATCACAACTTACTTCTCCTGCCTGGAGTTTCCACAGGCAACAGATACAGAGAACCACAATTCTGGTTAACCAGATTTTTAAAATGAGGTTGATACCATGTGAAATGAAATGCAAAACCCTCTGAATTAATAAATTCCAGCAGTACCTCGCATTTGATTAAGGAACAAGATGATAGGTTAGCTAAACATGATGTTAATTTATAGATTCCTGAAGCTGGAATGGTTTTGCTCACCTGGCTTAGAGAAAACTGAAGCCAAAAGGTAAGCGATTCAACTTGGCTTTGTTGTTTGGGGTTTTTTGTCTTTCCAAAACTGAGTCATAGAGATTTTGCAGAACCTGCACTGGAACAACAA